TTCTGTGCTTCAAAGCTTTCCTAAGATGTCAAACATTTTGAGTTAATTAGGGTTAGGAACCATTTCACTGTTTCAATTTGTGACAGCAGAGAGTTAAATAAAGCTTTGCTTACAAAGTCTCTCACTTGGAAACACACACAAAGCTGTTCAGCCTTAATTCCCAAGTTTGCTTTATGGTTTTTGGGTAAACATTGTCTCTTCTCTCAGCCTCTGTGAAGGAGCTCTTGCAGGTCTTTATTTGCCTTCCTTTCACAGCAGAGTTTGTCTAGGCTTGGTGGGGATTGTGCTAACTTTGCCACCAAGTCTGCAGGAAGATAAAACACTTTCTGCTTGTGCACCAGCCCTTTGAGATGATTGCTAACAGAGGGCTGGGGCTTCAAATACAATAGCAGGGCTGAGATGATGAGTTAAGAGCTTACAGATGACTTCTGACAAAGCATTCAGAGCATTAAGGGAGGCTCACCACTTAGAAGTTGAATAAAGCATTCAGGATTGTCACCTGAGCAAGGTGGTGGTGCCTTGGTTAGGTTTATTCTTGACATTTTCACTAGCCCTGTAAGAATTTTTCAGAAAAGATCTGCAATTTTAGGATTTTGTTAGGATGCAGAACATTCCTCCTTGGTTTTATTTTAATAATCACGTAATAAAATGTTAAGGTCTTGTCTATGGTGGAAAAAATTACAATAAACTGTTTTAATATCAGAAAACCAAAGCAGACAGCTTCATGTAGACTCTACAATATGATATTAGAGTCTTTTATCAATTTTACTTATGCCTCTTGGCAATACCTCACATTTAAAGTTAAATAGTAAAGGTCATTTTTATACTGGCTAGGGGTATTTCCATGGGAAAGAGATGATGGTGTAAATGCACCATATATGTTATAAGTAACTTCTAACATTTTGATAAGTTGACAAGGTCTTTGAGATTGCAAGAGGGAGTGATTCCAGACCTAAATTTTGGCCCAAAGACAAGCTTAGGGCTTATTCCTACACATCAAGGCTTAGGCCCTCAGCTGGGGTAAGCTGATGCCTCTCTATTGATTTCTGAAAAGCTAAACCAATTTCCAGCAGAGGAGAATCTGCTCCAGATTTCCCAGCTGCCCTATCAAAAATCTTCTCAGAGCATTGACTGGGGAAAGAAAAAAGGCCTCAGCCTGATTTGAAAGAACATAATAGACCTTTAATTTAATTGACTTAATTTTATTGGCAGCCATTGAATGGTGAAATGAAAACAGATGATCTGGATGAACAAGAAAAGGTTAGATGGGAGTAACCCATTAGTAAATATCAAGGCATCATCCTATTGTCCTCATTTAATAAAGGAACGGGTCAGTAAGTATAATCATAAACATTTTTACATTTTAGTGAAGATTTATTTGACATCATTTCTAGCAGAGAGATGGATTCTTGGAACAGCAAGAGATGAAACAGTCTAACAGATGAGAAGTTAGTTCCTTCAGCTGGCAGAGAGTGGCACAGCTCTACAGCCTGACCTATTTAATTCCACCTTTTTAGCAGCTGAGTTATTACTTTGGACTGCTGTGGGATATATGATATTTTTAAAAAGTTTTCTTTGACAAATCTCCCATGCTTACATCTTCTCTCACCGATTTGGAATTGCTCTTGGGGGCCCCTCAGAGCAACAGGTCTGGAGTGGCTGGACTGTGAGATTGGACACGGGGCTCTGTGGAATGGGCCAGTGTTGGATTCCAGAACCCTGGGGTTTTTGAGCTTTCTGTGCTTTCTGGCACTGACCCCCTGGAGAACACTGCTTGTGACCTGAGGCCTTGGAGAAGGCTCCAAATTTGAGTGATGGAGTTAAAATCACGGGTGTGTAGTTAAATGGAAGTGTGTGCTTTCACATGGTGAAGGGTTTTAAATGTGAAGTTTTTACAGCATAGTAATGGGTGTAGGACAAGATGGAGGATTTTAGGTAGTCTCTCAGTGCTCATCTTCATGGTTTCAGGCAGTGGTTTCTGGTTGGTCAGTCAGTGTCACACTGAGGGTTACAGGAGTTTGGTTATTGGGTTAAAAATATAAATAATATAGGTGTTAATTCTCTGTTGGACTGTTTAGCTTTAAGACACCTTGTAGCAGCTGGATCTTCCTCCATTTTCCTCACTTCTAGCAGGTAGCTAGAAGTGCTGCTGAACACTCTGTACTTTTGATAAGATTTAATAAATAACCAAGCCCAAACACAAGAAAATAAGTTTCCTTTGTGTATTTTTTAATCCTTGAGTAAATGAATGAAGGCAGAAGAAACTAAGACAAACCACTAATTAAGTGGTGCAAACTCCCACCACTGTTACAGGCCAGCAAAGCAGATTTCCCAAGCCCAGCAGAGCAGGGAAGGGATGAGCTGCTCTGGAAACCAGCACAGCTCAGCTCAGACCTTGCCTGGACCAGCAGCTTCTCCCCATCCCAACTGTCCTGCCCTGCATTCTGTGCAGCCAAGCTTCCAGCTGTCAAGGCTGTCTGGAAGTCCATCCAAACAGGATTTAACAGCCACACTAAAACCTCTTCCAAGGACAGGATTACCCTGAGGGGTAGAACAAGTGTGATATGATGTGAAAGAGAGAAAATTCCAATTAGATGCAGGGAAAGCAGACATGACTCCTCACTCAGTTCCTTATAATTCACTACTGGTGTGTTCCCCTTGTGTGGGAGTTTTAACAGAACATTATCCAGACCAACTGTGAAGGTGTGTCCTTCTGAATTTGAATTTTCTGAATTACTACTTTCAAATAAATAATTAAACAAACCCTAAAAATAAAATTTAAATGAGATGGAAAACTTAGTTTTTTCTTCATTTTAGATGGAGTTGGTTAGAAATATAATACTCCAGGAGTGCAGACTTCTTGCAAAGATGGGACCAGGTTACCCAGCCTGGAGCTCCCATTGAGGATCACCTGCCCTGCTTTCCATCTCTGGCAGCTGCCCGAGGGCTGCCCCACCTCCTTGCTTGTAGAGACAGCCAAATTCTCTGTGAGCACCCTGGGCACTCAGGAAATCTCCAAAACCTTACACCACCTGCCCTTGCATCCCGGAGGGATGAGGGATGCTGCTCTCATCCCTGTGCCACAGGCAATGCTTGGGCTGTGCTGGTTTCTGCCTTCATTTCCTTCTGCCCTCTCGCCCCAGCTCCACTGAAGTGGCCACACCTGGCTCTGAGCTGCATCCCCAGCCAAACCTGAGGGGCAAAAAGGCAGAGCCACCAATGGTAAAGAACGTGGCAGCCCAGTGACACCGTGCGGGCTGGGACTGTGCTCCGTGGAGCTGATCACACAGCAGTAACTTGTTTTTGCAGTGCTCCTGTGCTTTCTCCCAATATTTTTCCCTTGGGTTTAATAAGCAGAGCCTCCACAGGCTTACAGAGAGCTCACAAAAATCAGTGTTCATCCTTTGGTGTGAGGAGTTCATCCAGGAGTGAGGAGAGGATATGAAGGGCTCTGGTTTTGGGGAGGGACACTGGCAGCTTCTCTTGTCCAGAGCAATGGTGAGTTACAGGCATGTCCTCTCCTCCTGGGGGGAAAAACTGCTGGGGGCAGAGTCTCTAATGCTGCATTCCCACAGGGCATGGCCCAAACCACTGCAGGATACCACTGCTGCTGTGAGACCAGGGGTCAGAACGAGCAGCTTTCATCTGGAAATCCAAACACTTTCTCTAGAGAAAACCCCAAATCCAGCCCCTTCACCTAAAGAAAACCCCAAATACAACCAGCCCCATTCTAAATGTTTTAGTTTTCAGCACTTTTCAACAACAACAACAAAAGAGATGAAAAAAATGAAGGTCTTCCTGGGAAACCAATTCTTGGTGAAATTTTTTGGTATAGTCCAAACAGAATATCTTGCAGGGGATCTCCCTGTTTGAGTTCCAGCACCAGCACCAGCCTGTGACTCAGAATCAGGACTGCTTTGCTTGGCTCCCAGGGCTCCTGAAATCTGTGTAAGCACCACAGACTGTGCCTGGCGTGGGGTGGGCTCCACACAGGGAGGGCTGTTCCCTGCTACAGAGGAAAAGCAGCTTGTATCTTAACACATTTTGCCTGGCAGGCATTTCAAAGGCTTCTCCTCTGAATCAGGGCTGCAGGCTCTGCCTGTATTTCCTCTTCACAGAATCTGGCAGGTTGAACTATGCAAAATTCCTTAATCCTGTTTATGTGCTGTCTCCTTCCGAAAAGGCACAATGCTCCTGTGGCCTCTCTGAGCTTTCCTCTCCTCCTTTACCAGAGTTACATTTGCCCATTTGAAGGCCAAACACAGGCAGGATGAGAGCAAAGCAACCAACAGCCCCATAGGACACCAGAATTTGGGATTTCAGTAAGACAGGCAAAGATACTGTGCCCATTTAGCCTTTTCTGGATTAATGAAGTCCACAATGTCCAGAGCAGATGCTGAGCACATACAAATTACCCAATCGGAGCTATATGCTCAAAACTTTGACCTTAAGGGTCACACTCCTCCTTGCCTGCTCCTCCTGCCCTGCAGTCCTGATGGGGCAGGAGGGGAGTGGGTTGAGGATGCAGGCAGGGGAGCCAGGGTTACCTGTCTTCTGGGCCAAAATCTTGATCTCAGTGCTCTGAGCTGCTCAGTGCAGGGATGCTGTTCTGTGCAGCTGAACTTTGTATCCCTGAAGGCAAGGAGAAAATAAATCAGCTCTGTCCTTAACCTTTGCACAGGGAAAATCACTTCTCTGCTTACCAGGGAGGAGCAGTGGTTTGGTCCTCAGGGGTTCTGCTGGACTAGTTCTGGGATGTCCATGGGGGATAGAGAGTGACCTGGGGAGCTGAGCAGGGCCTGGGGTGGGGATGGTGACACTGGCTCAGGTTGCAAAGGTAGGAAGTGAGGCACTGCTGGAGTGGAGGAAGAGGAAATGCTCAGGCAAGGTGTCAGACCCCAATAAACCACCTTGATGAGCCTTTTAAAAGGGCTTAACAGTAGTTCATGCACTCTGAGTTGGATGCACAGGAGAAATACCAAAGAGATATTCTCAAGGGGTCAAAACAACACAAAAGACTTTACCGACAAAATTCAGAAAATCAGCAAAAGTTTGGCAAAAGGTTTGGTACAACATTCAATCAATATAAAACATTTCTCACAGCATTAACTTGGCCCATTCAACTTAGCAAATATTAAGCCTATTTGATGTTAAGTTACTCAAAATATTCCAAGAAGAGGAATTTGAAGAAGGAGAGAGAGAAAAAAGTATGGAAAATCACACACATAGCTACCAGCTCCTGGGTTCCAGCGATGATGGAGGAGAGGAAGGGTCTGGATAAACATGATGGCCTTGTGTTCAGCCTTAAATACCCCGTGGCCTTCCTGAGCCCTTCTCCCAGCTGGGACCTGTGGTCACTTTGCCACTCAGGAGCTGGGTCAGGGTCTCCAGGGGCAGGTGTGGAGCATTTTTCCCTGTGTGCCCACCACTGGCACTGCTGCAGGGCTGGGATGCAGGCTCCAGAGGGGTGGGGTGTGAGGAGCAGGGCACTGCCCCTGCCCCAGGCACCTGCATCCCAAAACATCTCCAGGCATCAATCTTTCCAGCCTCTGACACAAGGGCAGCATGAAGGAAAAGGGAGAGAGAGGAGGGTCTCGCTTTTGGGAATGCCCCAAGCCCTGTGGCACCACTCCCGGTGCTCCCCTCCTTGGCTGGGACTGGAGTGATGAACATGCACTGCCTGCTGTGGGTGATGTGAAAGCCCTTGGTGTGCTCCTGTCTCACCCCTCTCCCCTCCTGGTGCCTGCAGGTATCCTGTTGGAGTCCAGAATGCAAGAAATTCTCAGAACATTGGACCTGTAAATCAAAGCCTGGTAAAGAACACAAGATTTAAACTGAGGCCTTAGGAAAAGCTTCCAAGCTTAAGTACTAGAAGTAAGAATGTAGATTTAAAGCTTAAAGCAGAAACATGTTGAGTAGAAAAAAGTTTAGCTATTAAGTTTAAAATATAGAAAAAATAAAATAAGTAAAAAAACAACAAAATAGCCTTAAAAATAAATCTATGTGTTAAAGCAAAATTGGCAGAGAAAGGTCACACTGTAATTAAACAAAATTTCTTAATATTGAATTAAAAACATAAATATCCTTGTTAACAGTATTTTATTAGTTAATAAGTCCTTAGAAAAACTTGCAATGATAATTCTTGTGACTTCTGGTCATACTCTTAATACCTATAACAAGAACTCATACTTTCTGTAAAAAAAACAAAAACAAACAAAACCCACACTTTCTAAACAACTAAAAGTCCCATCACTCTACCTCATTCGAAATTTAAAAAAACTCCCCGCGGAACGTAATAACATAAAAACAAATAACCCACAGTGTCCCTCACTCTCCCAGGTCCATGCTGGGGGCCCAGGGATGAAGCTGGAGCTCTGGATCCTGCTGCTGGGGCGTTCCTGGAGCAGGGCTGGTGGCACACGCGTCTCCAGCCGGCGTTGGTGCCGAAACCTTGGCTTTGCAAAGTTTGTGTGTGGCTACGGACTGAGCCGGGATCCTGCCTGGATATGATTCACCTTCCTTCCCCCTCCATTTGGGGACCTGTGACCAGGCTGTCAGCAGCTCTGTGGAGCACTGACTGTGGGGCTAAGGAGGGAGGTCACCTCGGGCTCATTTCTAGAGTCAGCCTCTTATTTACGACATAATTTTGCGTGAGGAGGGCTGCTCGTGAGCCTGTTCTCTAGGATGGCAAACTGAAGGACCATATGTCATGGTTTGGACTGCCAACACATCAACATTGCAATCATTTGCAGACTGTTTTACATTTCTTTGATTCGGGAATCTGTGTAATTAGCTCCTTAGAACAGCCGGGTGGAGGAAACGCGGTCTGTTATTTGGGCAGAATTAACATCCTTGTTCTCTGCATTGTGATCCTCAGTTTCCCAGTGCTGCTGCCAGAGCAGTGGAGAGATCAGTGCTGAGACATTTGTTCTTTGAGCCTGCCTTCGTTGCAAAACTATTTCTGTTCCTTTTCTAGGCTACCCCGATGACCTACAACTGGCACAAGATGTGCTGATGCTGTAATTAGTAAATACCCTCTGCAAGTGGCAGCAAAAGATTTATAGCCACCATTGGAGGTTGCCTTTCAGCAAAAGGAGAAGCACCAAAGAGTTTGCTGCTGTATACTGCATTTTTCTGCAGATTCCCAGCAGGGTCCAGCCAGCATTTTTTGCTGCAGGCCTGGCAAATAAATCTTTACTGACTTGTTGTGGCAGAAGCCACATATGAATGTGTTGGTGGGGCAAGGGTTATGTTATTTTAGTGGTTTAACAAACCCATACAGGCTTCTGCACTGTTGGCATTTGGCCTCCTACCAGGGGTATGATCATTCTGTTAAGCTTTCAATTTCTATCCTGGTGGTTTATGCAGGTTGGTTTTTATCAATGCCTATGTACAGCCAAAAAGCAGAAGAGCAGCCATGCCAAATGGCCTCCCAGTCACTCGTGCTTTGGAGGCAGGACAGGGCTCTGCCCCCAGGGAGAAAGGGAAGAAGTGAGAAGGAATGATATCAAAGACAATTTCATTCCCATATTTGCCCTGGCATTGAAATCTCTGGTGCATATGGAAGGAAAAGGGACCTTGTTTTTTGTCATTTCAAGTAGAATGTCTTCCAAAGAATTTACCAGCTCCACACTGTGTCTAGTGCTTGATTTTCCTCAATCAAGAGAGCTTGGCCAGAGTTGTTTCTGGTGTTTGGGCACCTCCCTTGCCATTTTTCTTCCTCACCCCTTCAGAGGCTTGTGCACCCATGGATTCTCTGTTGCTTAGAAAATGGGGAGGTTATATTGGTCTCTCAAATAGGAAAAATTATCTTCTTTGCCTAGTTTGACAAACTCTTACAGGGATGATATCTTTGATATTATTGACTCTTAATAAACTCAGTCAAAATTGGCCGAGAAATTCAAAAGTTATTAAAGTCAGGAGGAGAGGTGAAAAGTTCTTTGTTTCCATAGGAAAACATGTAGAAAGAGGTAACGTGTGTGTCACAGAGGAAAATGGAAATGACTATTTGCAATCTTTGCATGCTGTAACTCATGCCCCTTCCACACCTTCTCTTCCACATACTTTAGCTGTTAATTTTATCTTCCCATCCACCATTTCTGCTCCCCCGGCCAGCTCCACACCCAGCATGGTCCTTGGGTCGTTTGCAATGCCTTCCTCTTCCCAGACACTTTTTCTCCTTGGGATACTCATCCTCACTGCCTGGAGAGACACACTCAGCTCCTCATCTCCAAATACAGCCAGGCTAGAAGAGGGGCAGCTTGTCAGGTGTCACAGTGAGGGTGGCCAAAACAAAACTTTTGGGTTCAGAGTACTGAGGGCTAAAGTGGCAAAAATAAAGGAGCAGGAAGAATGGACTTGGCCTAAAACTAAAGAACTTCAATGGAAAATAAAACAGGGACTGTCACTGTTTGCTATAGGAGTGGCAAAAGAAGACCCAGTGACACGGCTTCCTCTCAGAGGTAGAAGAAGCCAATTTATTGTAGAAATGCACACATTTTATAGACCACTGAACCAAGAATAGAGTCAGCTTATTGGTCCAAGGAAGGCAACACCTCTTACAAACATGTTTTTACCAAAATATCACGTCTCACATGTTCCCTTCTGTTTCCTTCAAATGCCTGGGAAAACTCTGCTTTCCCAGGCTCCATATCCACAAGGCACGATGTCCACAAACTGAATGTTGCATGGGGACAAACTCTGAGGACCCAAAACAAGGGGGAAGTGACAATGTATACACTCATGGGGAGAACTTTCTGGAACTATGACCATATAAAGGGGACAAACAACCAATAGGGGAGCAGAACTTGGACCACTTAACATAACAACACTAAGGACTGTGGGAAGAACACTTAGGTTCACCCTAACTTAAACAAATGTTTCTCGGGGCTCGAACTCAACGCCTGGCTGTTTCTTGGTGAGCTCTGGCTGACTCTGTGTCCCAGCCAGGCTGGCTGCCACAGCCAGGCACCTCCTGATGGCTCCTGGCTCACTCTGCACCAGATCTGCTGTCCCAGTGAGCCCCTGTCCCGCTGAAAGGCGCTGTGGCCCTGCTGGGTGGTTGGACACCACTGGGGACAGAGCCAAAGCGGGGTTAGCTGGATGAGCTGGAGCAGTCCCCTGGGAGCGCCTGACTCTCTGCAGTAGCTGGCCTGGAGCTGACCCTCAGGCTCGTGGCGTTTCAGTCAGGGGATGCTATTTTGGTGATGCTTCGGCAGATTCAGTGTCATTTTGGCCTTGCTCCCATTGACGTTGTGGCCGTGGGTCTGGACATCAGCTGGCCACAGCCTCTCCTCTTGCTCACCTCCTTTCTGCTGCCTTTTGCCTCGTTGTCCTCAGCCCTGGATTCTGAGCTTTGCTTTCATTTGGGAAAGGGCTCGACAAACTGCCTGCAGTTACTCCACCTCCCTTCTTCTCCCTCATGTTACTACTTTGGTTCATAAACTTGAAGTGTTTTCAGACTTCAGGGTACTCTTATGTTATTTAGTCCTGTTTCTAGAGGTGTTTTGAGGAGCTTGAAGTGGTCACCCCTCCTGCTGACAATTATTCTCTCCCTCAGCCACCATCCCTGTCTCAGTCCATTTCTTTTCCATTTGGCTGCCACTTAACCATCCAAAGGTTTTGGCAGCTGCAGTGGTATAACCAGGAATGAATTTGACTCCTAAAAAGGATTTGGGAAGAATTAGGTTCTGGGTTTATTGGGAATTCACTTGATCTGTAGAATAGGAAGGGGAATTGTTTGCTGTCATCCAGAGGAGGGCATTGTGATTGTAAATTGTGTGAAAGGCAAGAAACGCTGATTGTGCTGCATTAGCTTGTTTAACCAGAATCTGCTTGGAAGATTTAGATGTTTTGGTAAGTTTTTTGGTAAGAATGAGGCTGCTGCTGATGCCTATTTATAGATGCCTGTGGCCCTGAAGGTTTCCGGTAAGATATTTGCAAAGCCACTGCTATCCTGAGAACATTCATGCAAATGAGTTGGCATTTTCCCAGTGATAAAAGGCCAGCTCCAATATGGAATCATAGAATTATAGAATCATAGAATAATTTGGGTTGGAAAAGACCTTTAAGATCTTTGAGTCCATGCATCTGATCTCTTTCTGACTACATGTTGCAGGGTATTTGCAAATGAATGTAGTAAATAGATATCTGGGGTCATAAAAGGCCACGTTTGAGAGATTGCTTCTGGGGCTTTTCCCAGGGTGATACTGGTCTGCCAAGCAATGGAGGCTGTGAGCATGGAGCTGATAGCAACTCACTAATACGGGTTGTTTTGTAAAAAAGGCCCCTTTGAGTCAGTGGTTAAAACGCTCCCTCTTCCCTTGGCTTCTGCTGGAGTCAGCCTGTGACTTTCAGTAATAATTTTTATCTGTGTGTTAAGAATTTAACCTCGAAAGCATAACTGCACTGCATTAATTAAGCTTTATCTAATCTCCAGCTAAACTGACAGTCAACAAACAAACAGAGCTTTCTCAGGATGGCATTGCCTTGCATGTACGTGATCCCCAGCACAGTTTCAGCTCCTGGGCAGAAAGGTGTTCCCCAGTCATTGTGTGGTGCACATGTTGGGAGGAATGAATCCCCTCATTACAGCTTATCTATATTAACCATAAAATCTCTCTAAGCCTCTTGTTCCAGGAAATATGGAGGGCAAAAGAGATCCTTCAAGCATCCACAGGGTGTGACACCTCATAAAGTTCTCAGTTTGTAAGATCTGGTCGTCTTCTGCAGTTTTATATTTCCCTCATTGCTGCATCTACTTGCACAACACGCAGCCTCTTTGAGGAAGGTATGGATGTCCACTTCCATCATATCCAAGATGGAAAACATTACTAAACCCGTGACTTACACAGAGGTGTTCACACAGAGTTGTGAGTACATCCCCAGCACGGATCAAAACTGAAGTTGCTTTGCTGTTTTTTGGCAGCATAGGCCAGATGGGCATTTTGAATTGAAATGGACTGAAAGACAAGAAACGAGATAGTGACTATTAATATATATGTTAGTGAGTGCCTGTGCAGGTTTTCAAGGAATACCAAGCTGCTATCACAACTGTTTTCATTCAAACTAAGCCCATCAGGACATTATGTTTTCACAATAGAATTCTCAGGTTTTTTTTTTCTCTCTGAGACCATCTGAACATAGATATCCCATTCCAGCCTGATTTTAGTTCAGAAGGAAAGTCATGAAAGTTCTGGTTAACTCAGGTGTTCTCACTGTCTGTCTGTCTGTCTGTCCTGTGAGGCAAAGGCATCTGGTCGTCCCCTGGCTCTAGAGTCAGAACTGAGCAGCTCTGCTGCAGGAAGAGAGACAGAGAGAAAGGGAAATGTGCAATAGTGAGGCCCACGGGTGTTAAGAGAGTTCGGAGAGAACCTGAAATTACGAATGAAAACTCTCTTCTGATTCAGGAGGAGATGCATCACCTTCTTCCATTGAGTTTT